CCATATAGTAGTAGTAGTAGTAGTAGTAGTAGTAGTAGTAGTAGCAGAAGTAGTAGTAATAGTAATAGTAGTAGTAGTAGTAGTAGTAGTAGTAGTAGTAGTAGTAGTAGTAGTAGTAGTAGTAGAATAACGAAATAATTTGATTTATGTTGAATGAATTTCTCAAGACTAAAGTTTTTTTCAATTAGAATCGGAAAAAACACTATATGAAAACAAGTAATCTATGACTTGCATTCGTTATCATTTAGCCGTATAAAGCTTTCGACACTAAAATGTTGTGTTTTAAAATTCAATTCTTCATTTGCATCATTATTTTTGCTTTGTCTTATATCGAGATATTAAACAAAACATGTTTGTTATCAATTAAGATTTGGTTATGAAAAACAAATCCACAGTTTACCTATATCATACACCTCTCCAATGTAGTATTACAGTGTACATATATTTTCCATTATCATGATTATTATATCGTACGAATTCTACATAATAGTTGCAATTAAAACCGTACGTAGATACGACCACCACAATAAAACATCGTGTGGGGAGAAAAAAGAAATTAAATTTGTCTTTGACTAGAAGGGAAACTTCTTTTCTTTCTTTCTAGCTCCTAAATCGAAACACTATTTTAATGAATGACCAGTTCTTAATGTCCCTTTGTTAAACGTTAAACCACTGGCTATTCATTAGTCATTTTTTATTGAAAGGGATGAAATATTCATAGGGCCTATTCATATTTCCGATTTTCTCATATTTTGATGAATTTGCGTCACGGTAACAGGGCACGCGAAACGTTGACCACAGCATAATGACATCCCATGTTGATGAAGAAACAAAACAGATATTCGACAAATGTTTGGTTTTGTTATCGACTATGATTGATAACTTTATGTTAAATCGGCACGCGAGGATTTGCCGCAACGTAACGACCGCTATTCTTGTATATCATGTACACAGTGTCTCGTGAAAATGCACAATCCGAAATACTTGCAGGTAATTGTTCAGTTGGTGTTTGCATTGATACTAAACAGATAGCTTGGTGTGGTATGCATCAAGAACTTTTGTTTGGGGGGGGGGGGTAGCTTGTGCAATCATCCCTCAGGTTTCAGGAGTCCCTCGCGAGAAAAAAAAAGAAAATGCATGTAGTTATTTTGCACAACAACAATAAGCTTTCCAACGCACTAAAATGCAAACTTTCAGCACTTCAAAATCAGAAATCGTTCGAATATCATTAGACGCATACGTTTACTTACATGTTTTGGCTACAAAACGTCTTTGTGCCCCCCCCCCCCCCTTTTTAAAAAAAAATTATTTACAAACCTCTCTCCAAAATTAGGAGGCAAATCGTGTGTTTTTCCCGTCCGATCTGTGATTACATGTTTTAGCACATCATCAATATGTCTACTGCAGCTCTTAAATACAGAGTTTTATTAGATGCTCTATTATTTATAACCGTATAGGTGCCAAAAGCGAGGGGCAGATGTCTCCCTCTATCCAGGGGCGGCTTAATTGTTTTTGCCTCTTCACAAGCCCACATTTTGGAGGGCAGATTTTTACATTTACAAAAGGAGGGGGCATTTCGTTTCCCTGTCCCCCTAGCAAGACAAAAGAATGATATTACGTCAATCATTTGCAGTACGACAACGGAAGAGGTTTATATTGCTCTAAAATACTGTACAGAGTTTCGTTATTCAGAACTCTAAATCTTCTACCTCGGTCGCTATGCTGCCTTGTATATTAGAACAAACATTATTTATTAATAACAGTACGAAGAAACCCACTTACTCCCTGAAGGAAAGGGGGCAAACTCATTTATACTGTATATGAATGTTTCTTACCGTTGTCCAAACTCGTCCGAAGCGTGTGTGCGGAGGGGGGGGGGTGCTTCCCTCGAATGAGGGGATGGGACAAAATCAATTTCGCCCCCCCCCCCTTCACAATATAGACAAAAAGCTCCAACACTTGTGTATGGGGTGCGAATGTATGTGTATGTTGTTTGTGTGAATCTGTACAACTAATCATATTTACATTAATCATTCCCCCCCCCCCCCCACACACACATAATTAGGGACCGTTCTACGCCTCTGTTACTGCACAACACGGTATGAGAATTGAGACCATTAAGACAAGGTTTAATTTTGAAATGTTTCATTTCTGTAATCAAACGTAATTATATTATATGATGTAATTATATATGATTTTATGATGTTTCGGCACACAAGAACTTAACACAATCCAACGGGAACAATTTGTGTGTACATCGTGTTTTTCGTTATGAAATTTATATTGGCGTGTACCTTTTTGATAGCAAACGAATAAATGCGAACATGACAGACGAGATTAAAGTTCGACAGTTTTTGTTTTCTAGGATCGGGTACTCGAGAACTTACCGCAACAAAACGACCGCCATTCTTGTATAGGGTGTCTCGTGAAAATTATATGGCAGATTTGCGTTGAAGAAATAATTACTTAGATTCATCAGTTCGAATTTTCCAACTGCACAATAAGATGGGAAGCATTGGAAACTTTTGGATGGTTTTGACATCGGTCTCGAAGGAGTCTCTGTGTTTTGACGTTTATCTTTGAGAGTTGGGGTTTACTACTGTTAGCCTTTCATTCGTTATCATAAGTTCCTCTGCTGTACATAACAAAATTGTCTTTCATTTAAATTCTGTTATTTCATTTCCATTTCTTTTTATCAGTTTACCCTTCCCAATATATCATCTTCTTCTACATATTTTCTATATTCTCTGCATTTTCTTCTACTATTCAACATGTTATCATAGGCTTGGTTGGAAGAAAAAAGCGAAATGCCCCCCCCCCCCCCCCCCCATACGTAGAAATGGACACCACGCGTATTCTGAAATGAATGTCCAACCCGCTAGGTCTTCCCGTAATTGGTATCTCCATCCAAAGGTTTCCTTTTTCTTTAGATCTTTTGTGTCTTTTGTTGACGTAACAAAAGAATGTGTAAACAATGAGATGACGCGAGCGGCACGCGAACCTCGCGAGGATGTCATTGGGAAAAAAAAGAAGAAGAAAAAAAGCATCACACATAATCAATGAGGATTCAGACCTAGACAATTCTCGGAGAAAATGACCAAACCTGTAACAAAAGTGTTGATGTTTGTTGACTCGACAATTCAATTCTGACATGATGATGGTGATGACAGCGAAACAGGGTCCAAATATCTGCCAAAAATCATTACCTGTTAACAAAGAGTATACCCAGCGGGGACACCTAATTATGGCCCGTTTCTACACGATTATGGTAACATGACAGAAAGGGTGTTTGAAAATTCTTCAACCCACTAATAGTTTGGTTCTTCAATTTTATCCTAAGCCTCTTCTTCAAGTCTTTTCCACCACGAGCAGTCAATGATGATAATTTGGGATAATCCTATCGAGGAGCTGGGTTTAAGGGCTTTGTTTGCGCCTCGTGAAAGTGTTGGAGCGTCCCCTTTTGTAAAAGACTCGGCAGGTCTGTTACTTTGTCCAAAGCTATCTATGGAATTGGATAATTGGTGATTATGGTTTGTTTACAGAGTAATGAACAACACAAATGTGAGGCTTCACCTTTTAGGTGGCGATAGAAAAACTGCACAACTTTCTGGAGCTAATTCAACGAAAGCTTGTTAAAAGTACTACGATACCCACAAAATATTATAAGAGCAGTACCAACATAAATGTATTATCAAATTAAGACTAAGTTGTTCCTATATGCACTTTTTTGTGTGTGAGGTCATGCATAGATACCGATACTGTGTTACATTAAAAATAACACTACGTCTTTTTATAATTATCACTGAAAGTACTTTGCCAACATTTGTTTTATGAAAACAAATGAATACCTGGAGTTGTGGTGTGTAAGACAAAAACAAACGAACGTTTTGTTCACATATAGATTGCAAAAAACATGCTTAAACGTTTTAAAATCGCACGTATTTTAGCACTAAAATTGGGTCTACAAATTCGATATTATATTGATGATCAAAACCTAAATATTTATGTAGAATTATAGTCACTGAATAAGCCATGTCAACATTAATCTTGCAAACAGTGGATAAATTAATATAACAATGGCTTTGTTATCTAGTCATATTATAAATCTCTTTATAGGTGTCAGAGGATTCTGTATGTGTTAAGATCTTAAATAGCATATGGTAATCAGCTCGGAAAAAATAAAAATACAATCCGTGTTCTTGAATAATAATTATATTGAAGAAAAATCATGAAAATGACACGCTCTCATCTCGAGCAAAACAAATTCATTGACTTATTGTTCATGTATTCGCTACAGTCATGACTATAAAATTAATGAGTAACACATATATATCGAATCACTGCATTCCTGTGATGATTCTGTGCTCGATGTGGTTTATAACGTCAGTTCAATCTGTCATGTCCATTGATCTTAGGGGCTGGGTGGGGAAATTTTATGCAAGGTATCTTTGATGTAAAATATTTGTCTTCCCTTTATTTCAGTTTGAAACTAAGTGCTTATTAATATCAAATTTAGTTATGATTCCTCAAAGAAAGGATGTTGGAAACAGATTATTTGCACCAACGCAAGGAAAAGTCAGAAGGATACCCCCCCCCCCCCCCCCCAATATATATTGTGACTTCTGAACAGGCTCCAGATCAATTTACAGTGCTCCTCGATTAATTTTCCTCATTTTGAAAGTGCGCCATCTATGTCCGTGTCAATGCATTCGTCATCTCGATGCGTATCAATGAACAAGAAAGATGAGTTAACGAAATGAAAAAAAGGGAGAGAGTGGACGAGAAAGAGTGAGAGTGGGGGAGGAAAGTCCGGTCGATAGTTATTATGGGTGTGTGTGGGGTGGTAAGACGCCTTCTGTTTTGCCAGAGATAAAAGCCCTCTCTCTAATTGGCCAATCGGGTTTGCCCCTCTCCTCCACAAAGCAGAGGAGAGATTATATAAGGGGTGACTTCCCCTTCCTGGAGTAGAACTCTGCTAGCTGACGGGACACACCCGACACCCTCTCCCTTTTCTTCTCAAAAAACATCGGAAATAATGTTCGCTACATTTTCTCCTATTTCTTCAAGGATTAGACAAATTCAACTATTGATACCAACTTGCAAATATTGCCCTGAACATCTTATGTTTGGCATACTCATAATTTTTTCTTCCGTCTGCTGAAGAAAATGAAAACGATTTAAAGTGCATATATGAGAATTCAACTTTATGAACTCCATCTATGTTTTTCGATTGATATTTGAGCTGGAAATAATCCTCATCGGCCGTTCAGCAGTAAGGAGGTGAAAGGAAATTATTTAATTTGTGTCGGAGAAAGAATATTTTATTTTGACCACGATTGGAGGAGGAGGAATCATTGTTCTGTCTCTCTACTGAGCCAATAACAGATGGGTCAACAGCGTTTTGTCAAATTAGAGGTATGTATAATCAACCTTTATCTTTGTGTTGCTTGGTTAATTACAAGAAAACGTGATTGCCATTTATGCCTTTTACTTCAGAGGAGTAAATGTTTATGATATTGTATAAACAAGAAAAATCTTTATTACGTTATTTCTAGTTTCAAATTTTTTTTTTTAATGAAGTATCTTATATTCGTTATTTTCGTTAATCGTAATGTAACTCTTTAATAATTATTTTAACCTTTTCTGTGAAATGTGTTCGTTTCTTTCATCCTTTCGACCAATCCATCATCAGCTTCGTTCTACCCCATTCACTCTCTCTCTCTCTCTCTCTCTCTCTCTCTCTCTCTCTCTCTCTCTCTCTCTCTCTCTCTTTCTCTGTCTGTCTCTTCGTCTCTGTCTCTCTCTCTCTCTACTCTCTCCCTCTGTGTCTCCCCCCCCACTCTCTCTCTTTCTCTCTCTCTCTCTCTCTCTCTCTGTCTCGCTCTTTCTATTAACTCCTAACTCTCTCCCATTTATTTAAACCTTTCTCTTTCTGCCTCGTTCTCTCCCTATTCATCTTTCTCCCTTCCTTTTTGTACAGACATATCTACCCTTTATTTTCCCCAAGTCTCTTTATCTCTCTATTCTGTGTGTGTGTCTCTCTCTCTCTCTCTCTCTCTCTCTCTCTCTCTCTCTCTCTCTCTCTCTCTCTTTCGTGTCAATCTATGAACCTGTGCAAAATAACCCCTATTTTATTTACTTCTGAGTTATAACGATACTTGGCTGTATATTTTGAATAAAAAGAGGAGAACGACATAGAGAGTGAGAAACTTAGCCAGGGCCAGGCAAGAAGAAGGCAAGAAGGGGGATAAAGAGAAAGAAAAGAAAGGGAGATGAAGAGAGGGAAAGAGAGAGAGAGAGAGAGAGGGAGATTCTGACGGCGAGGGAAAATGTTCTGAAGTACGTGATTGTGATTTAATGCATTCAAACAAACCTCTGAAATGGTTGAGATCTATAATTTGAAGAAACAAAACGTGCTTACTTTGAGTTCACATGAGTGCCCTGAAGTTTTGGATCAAAATTTCCATTATCCGATATTACGAACCAAAATAATGTTGGTGTCGATGAGAGATTAAATTAGTGATATTCACTACAATTACGTACACCGAAGTTTCACTTATCTTTTTTGTCGTCCTTTTTTGGTTCAGTTGGGAAAATATTTAGGCAGACCACATTTTGAAACGGGTCACGTCTTTCGGATGGTGACGTTTAAGTTCGGTCCCTAGACGTAAATAATCATATCCGATTGATAGAAGTCTGTAAAAAACCCAATTAAACATATTAACAATTTACAAATATTGATATTTCGCAATTATTACAATGGACACAAAACGGCGCTAAATATTCATATACAGGAAAAAACAATACCACTTAAAAACCGCCAAAGATATCAAAATTGGCTCCTAAATTCATTAATGTAAATATTAAAAAATACCCCTTTTAATGGATTTTTCAACGTGTACTGTCAATGATGACAAGATCCAGGTTGTCGCTGCGATAGCGAAAATAAGATAATGATTTTTTTTTTTTTTTTTTTTTTTTAAAGACAGATGTCTTTTGAGAATTCAGAACTCAGGAAACTTATTACTGAGAACTCCTGTTTTAATAAAGATGTCAAAATACAAACATGACCAAGATAAAAAGGAAAAGAGGGGAAGATTAAATGAAAAAAGGCAACAAAATAGAATTTCATCTTTTAAAAGGCAATTAATATTGAAATAGCTAGTTTATTAGCAGATGTTATAGATTAACCATTGTTCCTAAGCACATGTGCCCTTCTTCAGCGACGGAAACGTTTTATTGAACACATCATTTTAAGAGTCAAAAGGCCTCTATAGACGGCTGGCCACCACAAAGAAATCAACGCTACCACCGGTGTTCTTTAAATTGTTGTTTGCGCCCTCTTGCGGCGAAATTCATTTTATTGTATTATGTGTGTTGGGGTTTATGTGTACTGTACAATAGGTGACGTTGGTGTCCGGTCGTGTGTATAAGTCGTGTTATGCAGCAGGCGCTGATATGAGCGAACACTGCACATTGGCATTTGTTATTTGTTGATATTGGTGTTGAAAGGGATGGTGAAGAAACAAAGTTGGGAGTCAGACCCGATTAGAATTCATTATGTTTCTGTTATACAGTACTGATTTGCTATATTTTTAGGTGATTTCTGCTATATATTTACCCATCTCCGAACCCCCCCCCCCCTCTCTCTCTCTCTCTCTCTCTATATATATATATCTCTCTCTCTCGTTCACTGTCGCAACTTTCTCATCTCTCTCTTACTATCTTCCCAGTCTTATATATTTCTCTGTCATATGTGTTACCTCTTTTTCAGTTAGTTTCACTCTTCTAAATTTCTGAAAATAATGCCCAGGCCAATTTAACTAGGCTTACTTTAGGATCTATGTCATTTTTCAATGTGGAAAACTGCGTAATAGATAATAAATGAATTCAAAATAGAATGATTTTTTTTTTAATTCTAAATCATTTGGGGATTCAAAGAGTTGCATGAATAAATCTGCTCTGAATACTCATTTCAAATAGAAAGAAAGTCTGAACATTGTGTTGTTAATTGAAAACATAGGATTGGGACCACATACGAATAAACAGAAGTGACAGGTATAACTGGGATGAATGTCAATACTCTGAACATAAAGCAAGTACACTTGTTTAAAAAAAATCAAATGAAATGAAAAAGAAGCGATGTTAGAGAAATCTCTAGAATACTATATGGATGAATACAGAGAGAATTCGGGGGGGGGGTGATATGAGGAGTATCTGAAAATCAGACAGAGAAAGAGAGTTGTGTTTGTTGAATGGACGCGAGTGAGTGAGAAAAGGAGATGGGAGATTAAAAGTACTTTCTCTGTTCTCAGTTAATTACACGTGTAGCGTGCCCCCTTTTCTCACAAGAGGGCCAACCGGGAGAGATAAATGCGACTCAGTTGGGGTTGCGCGTTATGTAGGCCGTCCACATCCCTTTCTTTAGTTCTCCAATTTTTCGCACCCTTCTTATTATGTGGACCAAGGTAAGCGTCAAGTTCTATTTGATCGGAACAAAAAGTAAAGCATACTTCATGCGATAGAAAGAAAAAAAATCAGAGCGCGTTCTTTTTCGCTTGAGATGCGAATTGGTTCATTAGCTCGACCTCTCAGCGACTCCACGCGACGATTAGCAATGACGTTGGAGGGAGGGGAGAGTATCTAGACTCGTCAGCTATATAGGGCGTCAATTTTCTGTAATTAAGGCTTTGTTTGCACTCGACTGTAAGTGCGAGTCCTTTGTTGGCATTCAACTTTGAAGGAGGACAATAATCGGTGAAGTCAACCCAAAGGTGTAGCCTTTCAATCCGAGTTGCCGCCCCCTTTATTCGAGCCCTTTCAACTCTTCTTCGTCTTAATTTTGGAGATTGGAGAGGAGCGTGCGGTAGTTATTGGGCACATTCACAACATTCACTTGACATGATTATCTACATGGAAGTCTCACGTGAGATTATAATTTACCGGTTTACCTCATTGAATCCATTACCGGAGCTTGCTTGCACCTCAAATCAACTTTTCTTTTTGCTCTGATAGTGTCTCATGGTTCACACATTTTCTGATAATGATATTATGGACGCCGCCGTAGGCTTTAAAATGTGACGCCGGGTGAATAATGTGAGATCTTATGTTATGGGTAACATATTTTAAGGGACAAAACTGACACATTTAAACGATATATAAAATCTGTAAATTTTCTCAAAGCAGATCAGTCGACTTCCCAAACCTTTCGATGGTTCTGTGAATATTTGCCAATAAGTCTGTCGTCTTCTCAATAGGTTCGGTATCCCAGAGCGAGCAACCATGGCGTCGATGTTTATGCCTGTCAACTCCTTCTATAACCCCCTAATGAGAATATACCCTCAAGATTGACAGTAGAATAAAGAAATCTAATCGACAAAGCCTTTTCTATCCCAATAATCCAAACTAACGTCGCGCAAGAAGTGACACCTGTTAATCGCTAGGTTAGTAGTCGAGCAAAGGCAAAGACCTCCCCCGGAGCTGCGGGGTAAGGTTATCGTCACCCTCCCGTGCACCCTATACCAAACCTAGCCCCAACTGCCAAGTCAGGCGTATTGAAATGTATACAATGTTTGTCAGGTGGGAAGGCCGGATTTCTTTGCGATTGTTGCCCGAAATTTTGACAGGCGATCGCTGAAAGTTGAGGTTTTCTGTTTCGATTTTGCCCCTGAAAAAAAGTTTTTGCGGCATAATAGGAATCCATGGGCCGTTTAGCAGCGGGGACATGACGGCCGATAGCCCCGAACACACGCGCTTCTTTCTGCTTCTCATCGTCACTGGAATAACAAATACACAACGTGCGCCGACTCTTTCTCCATTCCATCGTCGCTTTTCTTTCGTTACTTTCCACTTTTTTCCACGCAAGTTCATTAAAAGTTTCAGGAGAAATTCATCCGTATCTCCTGCTCGTTATTTCCAAGGGAGGTATAACAATAGAGGTTGACCTATTGTTTATATGCAAATGAGTTGATGACGTCATATCAATGTGATATGTGTATATATGTCTCCCTATATTGAGCGTGGATCAAATCATTTCGTGTTTGAACAAATGCCGAGTAAAACGTACGGGACATTTACATTGACGTTATCCATTACGAACGACATTTGTTTTACAGGAAAGCCAATATGCACTGAATATGGCTATATCATGATATTGAAGTGATTACGTCACCCCATATGCAAATTAGGTTTTACTCATGGGTATGGAATAATTTGCATATATTTGACAAATTCATGTATCAAAGCACGCGTATGCCAAATTTCATTACATTTGAAAAAAGTTTTCTGCATTTTTGGATATGTTTAATATTTTCAATTTTTGCGTATGATGCTACATATAGATACAATAGAAAACAAAGGAATTTTCTCTTTTGACGAATTGTATGCTAATTAACCCCATAATTAGGGGTCAAAGT